CGTCCTCACTGCGGGAACGGACAGCACACATTACATGGAGAGGAGGAAGCACAGAGCGCAATCATCTGTGCTGGTACTAAGCAACCCCCACCCCCGCTGTCCCACAAGATGTGGCCTCTGTCTGCAGTGGGTGAAGGAGGATGGAGGTGATGACGATGGGGAGGATGAAACCATGACAGACGGGGAAACCGAGTCTCCAGCCTGGCTATACACCCTCATTTCATCAATGGGCCATCAGAGAGCATGCTTCCATTTGAAAACATTATACATCTCAAATGTAATTAAGAAATTTAGACTGGCATGAATATGTAATGTACACATTGCTCTGCAGATGCCTTTCCCGTCCGACAGGCTGGTGCCGACTTTAATTTGGAAGAAATCCATTTTCATACAAAGGTAACCAAGAGTGACAGGAAATAGAAAGCCTACATCATTTATCTTCTGTGAACTTAAGGAAAAAATCAGTTAATTGCTTTTCTAGGAAGCTATTTTGTGGAATCATGGTGCTTTATCTTTCTGTTCTTATTCATGGTATAAATGGTGATTTGAAAATGCCCGTTGTGAAAATGCTGATTAATCAATACATCTTCAACTATTTACTTATTTTAACCAGTAAAATTCTGACCAACCAAAAATGGTGGGTTTCTGTTCTTGTGGATGAATTATCAACCACTAGGAAAACTCCTAATATACACATAGCCTATTAACTGATATTCAAATTTAGGTATCTCTTTCCTCATCACGGACTAAACTAAGAGCAGCAGGTTCCGGGTTCTCTCCTTCCGTCCCACGCCTTTCAGATGTGTTCTATTCTCAGCCATCAGAGCCCTCTGCGAGAGTAGTCTTAAATCACTGCTACTTACTAAATTAATAACAAACAGAAACTAAAATGTGTATGTTTTGGAATACCCCTGAAGTTGTAACTTGCTGAACAAACTGATTTCATAGCCCATGAGGCTGATATCCCCATATTTTGTGTCAGTGGCACTGCATATTAGGCTTTTTTATAGGATTGTCCCATTTCTGTCTTCCTGTATCACCTAGCATATACATATGCATTTTTAAATTCTACCAAGTTTGAGGCCAATATAAAGTACTCTTTTCAAATCTGAAATTATCATTTTAATAATAATGTCATATGATTCCATGAGTGAAGGATGGATATAGCATGAAGCTCATGACACATAAACTTCAGGGCCTCTTAAGTGAACATTCCTCCAAGGCCCCAGGAAGGGCTGTAGCAAGGAGCTAAAGCATGATTTTGTAAAAATTTCAAGCATGAGATAATTTTTCTACTCCTTTTTTCCTAACAGAAGCTCCCAAGACCGTATTTATCTTAGGTCCCACAAAACCTGTACCTGCTCCTCTAGGTTAACAGTCCCCAGTGTCTAGATCTTGAATTACATGTTAAGGGCAAGACATTTATTTTGCATGTGTATGTGGAACAAAAAATAATTTGCTTCAACTCCAAATAAGATTTAGTGTGCCCTACCCAAGAATGTTCTAGAATGCATGCTGCAGTCATTTCTTATGTCCCTCACCTAACGCTAGTCACCCTTCCAAGCGGCACTCCAGGGAAGGCTCACTTAATGAGGGATGGCATCAAGACTAAAAAAAAGCTCAGCTATAACAACAAAAATATGTTTTTCATTAAACACAAAACTGTGCTGGGAAAAGCCAGCCAAGAGACAGGTGTATCAGTTAAGGAACTCCCTTGAGGTCTTTAACTTCCACATCAAATTGCACTGAATTTTTCCACACTAATTACCTATTATTAAAGACTAAAGAAGTATAACAAATAATTCACCATGGCAGCAGATAGAGTGCAGATGTTATAAGAAAAAGAATGAAAAATTTTATGAAGTGTAAAATCAAGCAAAAGAGATTCACAAATTCACAATTTTTGAAAATAACATTGAACACTTTTCTACCACAAGGATTATGAAGGTGAGGAAATTTTCTAGGACTAGAAGGCCAATTTTAAATTTAGTTTGGACTGTACGTGAGAGAAATTGCAAATTAAAAGCTAAGTGCTGGAGTCTAATTTATTCATGTAAATTTTCTGCACACAGCGATCACATCTTAGAGTTTTTTTCAATTTCTCACATCACATTACACCTAGTCACTGATTTGATTTCTTAGGAGGACCGTACCTATACAATGCCCTACAGCTATATTTGGATCTCCCTTGTCTTTACCATTGTTACCTAACACTTCCTTTCAGCCCCCAAATCCTTCACACAGGCCTAAGTCTTATTCTACAGCCAATGCCCTGGGAAAGTATAGTCAAGTCATGCAAGTCCCCTCGAGGTCACTGCCTCTATTAATTTCCCTAAAATAATGCATTCCTTACTTCATTGGAAATTAATGTCAGTACTATCACGAGGACATTTTTGTATTGGTACTACCTGTGTAAAAAAATAGGCATTAATATTTCTTGTTTGCCACATCTGTTTTATTCTCTCCAGAAAATAAAGGCAAGTAGTCCCATTAGACTAAAATCTAATTAACCGATAAAATTCTTCAGTTTCTACGCTATGATTGTGGATTTTATAGAGATGTCCCATAAATACTGAATGACATACCTGCAAAAGGGTATAAATAAAAGGGTCTCTTGGAGTACTGTAAAAAACAAACAAGTAAACAAAAAAACTCTTTGAGTCTGAAAGACGGAAAATGTAACTTATACGTAGTAACCTGCTGCTAATTGGGAAAGAGTCATTTTCTTATTATAATAGACTGGTTAAACACTCAAGTGTTGCAAAATCAAATTACCATATTTTTCATAATACGCAAAGTTTTTTTGCTAAAATAAGGACTGTACATCTCTCATACCAAAAACAAAAAAAACAAATCCACCAATTAAAATTTTGTTCTATGAACGACACTTCTTACCTTTTTCTACCCACATATGATTGGCGTCTGTAGAGTATTCAGTATAGAACGTTGTGAAGGGAGCAAGCTAACAGGCTCAATGTCATTACATGAGGGAAATGAAACACTTCCTGTATAAAAGCTCTAATTTCTCTTAGTATGACTTTCTATCTCAAGCATTTCCCTCTTTCTGTGATTACTGAACCGTAGTACAATGTGTCATTTCCAATCTGGGGTCTTGGAAGGGCGTCCTGAAAAGTGTCCATGTTATTAACGACATACCCAAAAGCCTAATGAAATCTATACTTATCTGCATAGGGCTGTACAGGCTATCAAAAACTGGCTTTTAACCAGGGCTTTATCAACTCATTGGGTTACAAAGTAAATAAATAAATTACTACCTAATAAATTTGAAGTTTCTTTGGCACATAAAAATCATTTTAACAGGGAATTAATTGGATTACAATTATAAAGGATTTTTGGTGGTTGCAGCCACCTCTATTCAAGGATAAGCCATGTTTTATTTGCCAGGTCATCTGATGATAACAAAAATCAAAGGGCTTGATAAATTCATTCTGTAAGGTGATATTAATGTGTGTTTCCTACAAACTTTTAAAAACATAAATGCCTGCAGAAATTATATGTTGCTTCTATTAATTCCTAAGAATACTTTATGGGATTCATCATAAGTGAATAATTAAAAGGAGTTACTGGTAAACATGTCACTTCATTTCCTCATTAGAACCTTTATAAACATTTCAGAGTAAAAAAATATATCTTCTCCTTCAAGGGTAATATGTTGATCTCCCAATGGTACATGGCACTTTCTGAGGTGATAGCTCAGCTCAGAAATGATTAACTTCAGCCTTGTCAGACTCCCAACAAGAAACAGAAAATCATTTGTGTTTCAATTGGTTATTATGTCAAATTAAGATATAAAGAATATCCTGCAATTTTACTCCATCTTTAAAAATAAATATGTCTAAAAGAAAAAAAAAATGGACAGTTCTTAAATATGTCTAAAAGAAAAAAAATGGACAGTTCTTGAATCCAATGGACAGAATTCACATTTTATATTAGTATACCACATCACAGCAAAACAAAAAAATGTACAGGCATACTTTTTTGTGTGCTCTTGACAACTATCATCAATTTGGAATATAGTATGAAATGTGTTTCTTTAAAACAAAACTTCATTTTCCATCCAGATTTACTGTTCAAGTGAGTAGTCACGGCTTCTTTGCTACCTCTGTGATTATGTGATTTGCCTTTTTGAATTCTAATATTCTATACATCCAATATACATATTTTATAATGCTATAAATAAATACTTTAGATTAAATTCGAGATGCAAACAAGAAGAATCTGAACTCAAAGATTTCACTTCTCTTTGTATAATCTAAGATCATTTTTATAGGACAAGGAGAGTTCTTACTTGATTAAAATCAATTAACCTGGATTTTAAATATTAGAATGTGGATGAGACATTGATACATTTGAATATTCATCATATTCAATATTGAGTCTTTTTTTTTTTAACGCAGGCTCCATGCCCAACATGGAGCTCAAACTCATAACCCTGAAATGAAGACCTGATACCAAGAGATAGATATTTCACCAAACAAACCACCCAGGTGTCCCTCAATACTGAGTCATTAAATAGTTACTTTAAAAATCATGATGAGGTTTACTTTGTGAAGTTTGTCATGGAACATTCCAAAAGTGACAAAAAATGTTGAACTTCTGACCACTTTTACATAAAAATTAACCTCTTTATATATAGCCTTTATAACACTTTTATTTCTAATATATAATATCTGTGTCAACACTGACTCAATAACAAAAAAAAAAATCCCTCATACTATATTGCAGGAGACATTCCTTTCTGTATGAACGCAGACACATAACTGCATATATTGGAACTTAAAAATAATTTGGTGATAATTGATTTGAGAAGATTGATAAGAAACCATTATTTATGTGTACATCCTCCTTTAGGGATTGCTACAAATCCTGCCACATGGAGTCATTCACACACTGAAATAAACATCAGAGTTTAATCTGTAATTGCCCAGTGGTCACTTAGAACTGCTCAAGTGTATATGGGTGATATTGAGAAGACTTACCTCTCCTTGCTTGGGGATGCTGAACTTGGAAAGCTTGGTTTTGGCTCTGGTGGACTCTGGCTTGGTGGCTGGGACTCCCCTGTATGATGTACAGTGCACACTGGTTTCTGTGGATGACTTAAGCTTTGGAGACTCATCAGGAGCCTGATCTTGGCCATCCATTGGCCGCACATATGCAGTTGGTTTCTGCTGGACCAGGCTGGGTTTTGAAGCCAGGGATGGAGGAAAGTTCTGAACACAGTGTCCGCTGCTGCTGTGCTTGGCTGCCATAGCAGGTGGCCTTTCCTGGGTCTGAAGACCCACCTCTACATTGCACACTTGCTTGGCTCGTGGCTGCTGTCTGCCAACACCATCTCCAAGCAAGGTCCTGAGAGAGCCTTGTTGTGCTGAGTTGGAAGAAGAAGAAGAAGAGGAAGATGAGGATGAGGGGCTCGACACAGAGTGGTTAGGTTTTTTATTATGGTTCTTTGGGTTAGTAGATCTGTTCAAATCAAGCAACCTGTGTCCGTGCTTACTTGCTCTCTGTTGATCTGATGGGGGGTGCCCAGCCTTCTGCCAGCCCATGGTGCCCCTTTTACTCTGCTGCACAGGGACAGCTGCTGGTGTGGAAGATGCAGTGCTACAGACAGACGAGGGCTGGGTCTGGGCTCTTGAATCCGCAACAAAATGTTCATCAATCTTGTTCACAGGAGCCTGAGGAACCCCAGGTTTGGGAACGCCAACGAGATGACTCTGATTAGATCTATCAGTTAAAAAGTCTTTCATTTCATCATAATTGCCTAAAGTATTCTGGATCCGGTTGGAGAGCTCATCCCCCTTGTTAGTCTGGAGAAAGAGAAACACATGTACCCTGCTGTTAGAGACCACAGAAACACAGGAAACAATGGAGAGGTGCCATTATTGATCAGAATCAGTCTTGATCACATTCAGAATGAGAGCTAGGGGATGACATCAAAACTGCTCTTTGCTGAAGAAGTCCATCCACACTCTGCATCATGCCAGAACCAGGAAGCTGTTAAGAGCCTTAGACTACATCAAAAAGGAATCTATCCTTGGTGGTGCTCTGCAGCTAAGGAAATCAGAAAATTTACCACTGTAGCTGCACAACATAGTCTCAAATAAGGCTTTCCAGGATTGGGTTTTCTTTTCTTTTTTATAGTCCCTTTGGAAGCTTTTCTTAAAAATTCAAATTTGGCTCAAATTGTTCTGCTGCCAATTTCTAAATTTATAATTATTCTTGTAAGAAACCCAGAAGGACAGGCAAAAGAAGTCAGTGTAAAGCTTAAAATGAACATGGGGCTAAAGAGCCAAGAAGCCACCACCCTAAACTATCCATAGTTCTGTGCTGCCTCAGATATTAGTGAAATCTTGGAAGACCTTTCATTTTAGAGGAGAGGCTGTTCCTCTGGCCTTTGGTATAAATGAGATGCAATCCAGCAGCTTTTTTCTCATTACACTATCAGGTACCCTGAACACAGTGTGACCCATGTGTGGCAAATGTTACTCAACCTCTTTATATTTCCTAATAGCTTAGAAAAAAAAAACATAACAAGTGGCATTGACTTTGAAAATCAATGCAGAAATGAAGTCTATACTATTGATAAAAATCACAGCAAGCAGCTCTCCCTATTAAGCAAAAGTTACATTTTACTGAGGGAACAGGCAGTCAAGTCGTGTGAACTAGACACCAAGATCTGTAATCTGAGAAGATCTCATTTTGAGCGGCTGAGCTGTCTTCCTGGGGTGAACATGCAGAAAGCCAGCTGAAGTTTGGTTGGTTGACTCTTTCAATACGGACTGGAAGCAGAGGTACAAGTGAGGGTGAAGATGAACAACAGAAAACCATCTACCTTGTAGGGTTCACTGAAGAGGGAGTAACTCGAATTAAATGTGCCATCATCCTGCTGAGTTTCCTGATTTCTTCTTTCTCGTTCTTTCCTCCGTAACACATTTCTATCTGGTTCATAGACGCTGCATCAGGAGAAGGAAAAGAGAACAACCACATAGGAAAAGGTTAACGACTAAAGTCCTGTGAAACTTTCACTTGAGTGCAGAAGTCTGGTTCATGGACAAATGGCGATGATAAGAACATGGATCAGATTAAAGCCAGTCTAATCAAGCAGTCTGGGCTTGGGTATCTGATAATTACATTCTTCAGGAGCAAAAGAAAATCCTTAGGACAAGTTCCAACCAGTACTAGACCTCTCTGCCTGATATGTAAAACAGGAAATATCTAAGCAATTTTGACAGGAGAAGACTGAAAGTAATCTTAAGGCAGACAGTAATTACAGCGATGTGTAAATAGGAATTATGAGCATATTTCCTCTTAAGACATAACCTCTGAGCGTTCCATGGGAATGCTCCTGTTCTTGCCTTGCCTTTCCTTTCCTTTTCTTTTTTTCTTTTTTCTTTTCCTTCCTTCCTTCCTTCCTTCCTGTCTTATGGCTGTGTTTCTGTAATGATTCTTTCATTAACTAGCTCTCTGAAGAGCTGTTAAAACTCCATGCTGCAGTGGTTTTCACAGTTATGAGCTTTCTTCGGATCTCTGCTAATCAATCAAGTCGTCAAACTACTACTGAATCAATTCTTCCTTCTGATATATTTGACACTATCAAATAGTGTCACTCTCTCCTCCTAACTATGAAAAATGTGCCAGGAGGAAGGGGTGCAGGCAACGAAGGGAGAGAAGGGAAATTGAATTATGGTGTGTCATCAAGGATCTCAGCCTTTTTGTTAAAGAAAATTAATATCTACTCTCCCAAAATACAATTATGAAGTGACCAGACACCAGATAACTGGGATGACGAAGGGAGTGTTCCTTCCCCCTCATAAGGAGGAAATAAAGGGGCTAATTCAATTAATAATAAGGAAGTGACCCATTTACTGAAGGAAGGAAAGACACGTGGTTTTTTCAGCGTGGTACATAAAGTGAATCTTGCCTCAGTGGAGACAAGGGAACTGACATGTCCCTCAGAATGAGCACTTCTTCATTTCCTACCAGAAGCATTTTAAGTGACGCTGTTTTGCTTAGAGCTCCCACTTGATCTAATGCACAGACGTCTGAGCTGGGAGCCGGGACAACCACCTACTGACTGTGATTCTCCCATAACCAGCGACATGATGATGGAAAAGCCACACAGTCTCTCTGCACCCCAGTGTATTCATTATAAAACAGGGATGTTTCATGGCGCTGTAAGGTTTAAACATGAAGGTAATCTACAAAATGGCTTTGGAATAGCTTTAGGTGCCCAAACTCCAATGTACTGCTTTTAAATGTTGTTAATAATAAAAGGATCTGTGAGTTCACAGAAACATATGAAAAGAGTAAGATTCTGTTTTGTCTAGTTTTGTTTTAGCTAAATTGCTATCTCGAGTATAAGAGAATATTTGTGTCATGTAGCTGTAGAGGACACAAATAAAATGACCATAAAATAAATACTGCTTATCCTTCTAGCTCTGCCCAGGTGGACAAAATATACTTCAAATTCACTAAAGGACAACGCTAAATATGCTTCCAGCAAGGCTGTGAGAATACCTAAGGCATTTCATTTAAATTTAAGATTAGGAAATGTTAAAATACCCAGAACATGTCATCTATTAGCATTTTAATTCATCTTTAGTATGTTACCCAAAGTTATTAGATTGGGGAGTTCAACCAGTGACCTTCACATAAACAGAGGCTGTAGCCACAGACTTACCAACTGAGAGGCTAACAGCTCCAACATTGCAATCACTAAGAACTCTCTGGATGGCTATAGTGATAGTGACTGGCATAAGGAGGCATAGATGAAAATGACACTCTCATTCACAGAACCAGTCCTCAAGTTTAAAGAAGAGGCTATGATTGCCCTGTCCTGCTGGTGGACATTTGCAATATGAGACTGCAGCTTTCACGAACATTACGTGGATTTCAAATGGAGGCTGCTCTGACAACACACAACTCATGGTGTGGATGGGCATGAGGTGAGTTTAAACCAAGAGGACAATTCAAATTTTACTATGAACTTGCTAACTTTAGGACCCAAACCAGCATTTGCAATCAGAAAAATAAGTTTGCATAGCATGCGCTGCACTTCTTCCCCTCCCCAGCACACACGGGTATCTGCAGAGCACCTACTATGCAGGACTCCATGCACAGAGACTTCCACAAACATGCTTGCTGCCTTCAGGCAGCCAACCAAACACACAAGACTGGTGTGATGCATGAAGTGGCCTTATGTAACATGAAGCAGGCAGGTGGTCATTTAGGATGATTTCAGGACTTCTGAGAGGTCCCCATGACCAAAATAATACCTCCTACATCTGCTGGCTGACGACTGAAATTCCACAACTAGAGAGTCATTCCTCTGGCTTAAGATGTCTTCACCCCTGTAAGAAATGTAGACACCACAAGAAGGGGAAACACTTTAACCTGATCAGCCCTTGGTATCTGAATGTGTATGAGTTTGTCAGCATCTTTGCCAAAGGCCAAGGAGATAGGGCATGGGACATCAGGGTCCCTATGGAGTCCAAATATGAGGCATGACAAAAAAAGGAGGGATGATGTAGAGTATAGCAATGCAAACAAATTTATAAACTCCACCTGCTTTGCAACATGGCTTAGATGTTTAGCATTCGGCCAAAAGCCAAAATCAATTAGGCAGATATCAGATTTGCTATATTTTCAGGATCAGGGAGTAAGAATCACTTCAAAATCAGAGAAGTTGGGAGGTCAGTGGCAAGCTGCTCCTCTTTAACTAAACTTGCTTCATTCCCCAATCCATTTAAAGATAACCAGAAGCACTGCAAGATGCACACCAGTGCTGGCTTAAATTTCTCTAATGAGGTTCTACCTACATACCCAGCCTACAGCTTCTAATACTAAGAAGGACTGAACATCCTCAGGACCACCTACACATAGTCTTCTAATAAAAATGCACTGGCCACTGGGGTGTGTGGGTGGCTCAGTTAGTTGAGTGTCTGACTCTTGATTTTGGCTCAGGGCATGTTCTCGTGGTTCATGAGATCGAGCCCCACATCAGGCTCTGTACTGACAGTGTGGAGCCTGTTTGGGATTCTCTCTCCCTCCCTCTCTCTGCCCCTCCCCTCACTCTCAAAATAAACAAACAAACAGTTTCTTAAAAATGCAATGGCCATCTTTCACGGGATAGCCATGTTGTTTGTGCCATGCAATACCCGCCACACCACCAGATGAAACCAGAATGACCAAAAATGACAATCATCCCCCCCCTTCTCTAGAACAGAGCAAAGGAAACCCAAAACGAGAGCCAATGCATCTTCAGTGCTTTCCCTTTGGTTTCTCTTTCCCAGCCTCCACGGAACATTTAACCCTCCCTAACAGTGACCCTCCTGACTCCTCATCCTTAACTAGAACCCACAAACCCCATCTGTCATGTCAGGCTTAGGAAAATGTCACCTGTTTAAAGCAAATGTCATTGTAGAGAAAGTCGGGACTTTCCATGCCCTATCTTTCTCTAAGTGTCTGAATTTTATCTCTTCTATCAATACCAAAAGTTTTGACTCATAAAGACAGTATCTTCTCAACAGTGAGTCCACCATTCTATTAATTACCAGTGAAATCTGTGTAGGTACTTACAATTCTGGAGAGTGCCTTTCTCTTGATCTCTCACTATTAACACTTAGTCCTCTGTCATTCAAACAATGTGAAGAACATATCATTTACTTTAGAAGCAAAGGAACCTTTCCCCTGACATGCTGAAAGTCAGGTCAGCTTCCCTGGAGATGGTTGACTAACGTTGTAGAGAATTCTTATTCCTGGCATGCCAATATATACATTAGACTCAGTAAGAGCCTCGTGTTATGAGCTGTTTTTTTTTTTTTTTTGTTACTAGCAGATGGTGAAATTGCTATCGTCTGTAAAGTTATTAAAGTTATTCCTTATTTCCATGAAAATTATAAGAATCACACTCCTCAAATGCATGTCACCAAATGTATTTATTTATTTTGTATGAAGTTGGAGGCAGCCAACTCCTACAATATTATTTATTATTTATTGCAGATGCATAACATTCCCAGAAAATGGAGCTTTTTAATCAACTACCTTTAAAAGACTCTCATTTTTAGAATAAAAAATATAGCCAATGAAAAACAGTAAAAAAAAAACTTCTGATCATTAACCCTTATTTGTTTTTAATCTATAAAATGAGGGAAGTATAGAGTTCAGCAAAGTCAATTATGCTGATTAGGGAGGAATAGAAGTCCAAACATGAAATTATCACCATTTCCAAAATTAATGTTTCTTTGATCATACAGTAACAGTATGAAACTAAATAATAGCAATACCTTTGAGTCTGATGGCTTCTCCCTTCCACTGTGCTCAAAACATTTCACACGTTAATTATCCTTACAATGTCCCTTGGAGAAAGACAAGGATGGTGGATATTATTGCTAGGCTATCTTTTCTAAAGATCAAGGGACTCAGGGTAAGAGTTTGATCAACAAAACAATGTCATAAAAAAGACATAATATAGAAGGGACAGCAATGTCAATCCATGGAGGAGGGGCTATCCAGGAGCCAAGAGGTGGACACACTTCCTAAACCCTGATGTGGACAAGCCTTGTGTTAGAAAACTGAATGTTTGTCTCAAAAAAGCAAAACAGGACAAATGAAACATAGGGAAGCTACTTTCCATTCAGAAAAAACTAAAAGGAGAATTCTGGAATAAATTCTGGGTTGTTATGATTTTTTATAGTCCCCCAAAAATGAAAAATAAAATCAGTTTCTTTCCACAGTACACATGCCAAAAGGATATCTGTGTGATACAGAAGAGTGGAATAGAGAACAGGTGAGTGAATTTAAAACTTATAGGCTCCAAAGTAAGCCAGCTAGGTGTCAAATAGGTGTCACCAATTTCCTCAGATCCTACCCATTCTTCAGCCTGCTCTGGTCTCTGCCCAAGCAGCCGTACTAGAGGGAAAGGTGCTGGAGCTGGAGTACCTGCCCCCTCTGCCGAGCCCAAGTTTGACCCAGAAGACCCAGCTGGCCAGGAGGGACTGCTCTCCTTTTTCTCTAGCACTGATCCATATGCAGCCTGTTCACATCCAAACATTTACTACAAACAAACTGCATTTCCCATGGACGAAGCTTTCAGCCAAGGGTATATGTAGCTAATTCCACCCCCGACTGCAATCATCATAGTGTTTTCTTCTTTAAAAACAAACAAACCCAAAAAACAAACAAACAAACATTATCCTACCTACTGGTATGTCTCCAGAGTTGCAGTCTGGGAAACAAGTGCATTCAAGGGGAAGGGAGGGAACACTCTCACCAATTTTCCGAAGAGAGTAATCATGCTCTCCATGGTTAAAAAATATTCTCCTCTTCATAACAGCAGAAATACAATTCACTTCAGTCCAAAAGCATTTCCTGAATGCCATGGTGTTAGATGCAGGGGAGACAATTAGGGCTGTTACTGGCCTTTCCTGCTGCTAAGAAGCTAATGGTTCAGAAGACAAGGCAGAGAAGAGGGAAGGGGCCCATTCTATAAGTTTTTCTAATTTTATTTTAGAGAGAGAGAAAGAGAGTATGGATGAGTGGGGGAGAGGGGCAGAGGGAGAAAGGAGGGAGGGAGAGGGAGGGAGAGGGAGGGAGAGAGAGGGAGAGAGAGGGAGAGAGAGGGAGAGAGGGGGAGAGAGAGAGAGAGAGCGAGAGAGAGAATCTTACACAGGCTCCACACTCAGCACTGGGAAGGAGTCCATTCTAAGCAGAGAATGCTGACATGGTGCATGGCTGGGACACTACAGAAGAGAGCACAGGGAATCTGGAGTGCTTCCTGCAAGAGACTCCTTTGAGCTGGGCCTTGAGAAAAGGGCAGATGGAGGAGAGTGAAGGAAAGAAATGCCTTACCTTAAAAATACAAGGTACATAAATCACTATTAAGTGGATTTTGAGAGAGTTTGGAGGCGGTGACCCCTGCCCTCCCCAAACCATCCTACTTGTTATTAACCAGATGGAATTCCACATTCAAAGTTTCATTTGTTTGGTTTATCCCACTGCTACCCTGTCATTTCTACCTCACCCTAAATAAGTTTATCAGATCTCTTCCTGAAGCAGATTTGGTTTGGAGTGAATAAATGAAGGGTGGATGAAGGGAAGAATACAGTTTGTATTAGGGCTGCCCTTGAACACCCTGACCACAGAGAAGATAATCTTTTCAGTCATGGTATACTTACAGTCCTTGGAAAACATGCTAACCTTTCCCCTGGACTGTGCACTGGCAGCCACAGGGGCAAATAGGAAGAAGAAAAGGCACTAAGTGGAGAGAAGAATGTTTCACAGAAACTCTCCTGCTCTTTGGAGCAGTAGCATCTACAATGGTGCATAATTAAAGAAACTTAATCAAATGCTGCAAAATAATAACAATTGATTTAAACTTAACATGTCAAATTAAGTATCATCTCTTGTTATTTATAAAGCAAATGATCAAAGATCAGTGATCCCTTCTTAAGTTAGAGAAAAGCAAGACTATAGAACTATACTTGCAAATTCATTCCTTAATCTATAGACAGAGCTGGGAGACTGAAAGACAGGAAAGTAGTCAGAGAGTGAGCAGGTGAGAGAAGTAAGTCAGGTGGGGAAAAGGAGGGTTAGAATCAGAGCCTGGCAAAGAGGCAAGGATCCTCCAGCTAGAGTTCTTCAAGATCCTGAACTGTTGTAGCCATGGTGCTGGTGCCAGGGGGTGGCAGGTGGGAAGGGTGATGGTGGTAGTGGTGGTAATGATGGGGGTGGGGTGGTGATGAGGAGGTGGGGGGGAGGACAGTGATGGTGGTGATAATGGGGATGGTGATAATGGGGGTAGGGGTGGTGGTAGTTAGAAGGGTTGGGGGGGGAAGTGTTGGGGGGGGAAGTGGGTAGGGGTGGGGTGTTGAGGGAGTAATGATGATGGTGGTAAGAGTGGTAGAGGTGGTGTGCTGGAAAGAGGGGCTGTGGGGTGGTGGTGGTGGTGAGAATAGTGGTGAGATTGGCAGTTAAAGATCTGCAGAGGAGCAAGGACTGGTCAACGGTGCGTATAACAAACGCTTAAATCCTGAAGAATATCATTCTGCCCTGCTCACTTATACTAGGCTTTTCTTTCGAATCAGGTAATTCCAGTTCTCACGCCTGTTCCCTCCATTTTCCCCAAGAGCATTACACCGCTGGCTTGCCATCAGCTTTCTAAGTATGACCTGCAATATTATTTCTACCATAGGTATCTTGAAAAGGTCAGTCCAATCTTACATGTCTGTCTCTGATCACAAAGGTGATTTCAACCTTAAATCAATCTTGAAACTCTCTTTGAGAGCATTTATAGATCTCTGCCTCAGGGCTGCCGATCTGTTCTACAAGAATGGGAAAAGAATTGAGGATGGTTTGTGCCGTAATCACTTGTCCTATACCACAGCTTTGGTGAAACTACGAAACAGAAAGGAGTCACAAAAATAATGAACACCCCAGACAAATATAGCCCAAAAATATTCCAAAGGAAAATAGCCTTTTGGGATGTTCCATAACATCTTACCAAACCCATTAGGCCCATGTTAAATTTTGCTAATAACAACTACCCTTTACTATTACAAGCAGCCACTGCCTGAAGCACTTTACATGCATTATTTCACTGAGTAGTCTTCAAAACCCCAAGAGACATCATCCCCATCTATCAGTGAAGAAACAAGAGGCTCTAAGGTTAACTAACTTGTAGAAGTCCCATAGCCGATGAGCGACAATGCTGGTGTCTGAAGCCAGGCAGTCTGGCACCAGAGACTGAATTCTTAGACTATGCTCTGCTGGATCCCCAGGGAACCTACTACTCACTGACAGTCTTTGACAAATGGTATCCCCATCTTTTGCTAGTAAATGCCAGGCAAAAAGGTGTTAATTTTCAGATCATGACAATTTCAGTTCATTCTTCTAAGATCTGCTAAGTTTCCTTGGTTGATAAGCATTAACTTTCAGAACTCTTGTAAAACTTGTAAAAATATAAGTGGGATAAGCAATTCAAATGAGTCAGAACTAGCAATTAACTAATACTTCAGTCCCTGAATTCTGTACAGTGGATTACTTAAAAATTATGAAATACCATAATTAGTGCATTTCGTAATGGCACTGACAAAGACAAGCCGCTTCTGCAGTATGGCACTGGACACTCATCTGTTCTTTACTGACCACTTAGTGAGTCCTAACTCCATTTCTAACTCAGTAGGAATGAGAACTGCTCCAAATATCTCTCGTAAATACCCTCCAGTGAGTTTTTAGAGAGATGACAGATAAATGACAGCTTTGCATTTCCAAGGGTTAAATGCTTTTCCTGAGGGATCTTAAGTCTTGGTGCCATGAGAACAAGTGTCAGGTTCTAATGGAATTGTTCCATTATAAATAAACCAGCAGGTTGAATGATAAGCAGCTTTCAAAGAGGCTTTCCATATAGGATAAACAGAGAAGTTAATTTGAGTTTCTTAACAGGACCCTTTTCCTTTACAATATAAAAGTGCTTTAATATGAAGCAATTACTCTGATTTATCATCTTCTCCTTGTTAGAACATAAAGATTCAGCAAAGCTTCACAAAAGCAGTAGTAACTTAACCAAGTGAGACTTAACTGCAAAGTCCCTACTATGCTTTTTCAAAGAGCTCACTTCTAGGCAGCAGCACCATACAGCAGCCATCAATCACAGGTGTCCATTATTAGAAGGATGCTTACTCCCAGGGCTTTGCATGTCAGAGCCAATAAATTATATTTCCTCCACCAAATACTCAGTTACTTTTCATTTTTATTTTACAGTATCAGTTTCTAAACTTCCAGTCCTAGGAATGTAAAGCCATCTATAAGGAGGAGTTATATTTCCGAATCATGCCTATGTTTTAACCATGAAACCCTTCCATACAATCTCTATGTGGCCACTCAGGGTTCTGGATACAATCAGAGAGCAGAAGGGTGGCCAAGTCTTCTTATGTAACTTCTTGCCATCAGTTGAGTCAGGCTTTTGGACATAGAAAGCCCTAGGGCCCTGAACATCAGCCATTAAAGAATGGTCCCTGTTCTTCCTGAATCTAACTGCTCAACTTCTTTTCTTCCCAGAATCACTAATGACATGCACTATCTGGCTGAAATGGGATTTCTAAAAAGGAGTAAGAGTTAACCTGAGCCACTTCCATCTGTTGAACTGAATTAATTTACCTGTGAGGTACAGAACTAGCCCCAGGCTAGAATGAAAACAAACAGAGCTAACTTTAAGGAAAGGAAGAATTAAAGGGATATGCATGTCCTTAAGTAGCTTCTGATGGCTAAGCAATCTAACGAACCAACCATTAGAGTCTTCCATGTAGGAAACACAAATGGCAACCACTATTATAGACCTATTAATTTATCTGAGAGGGAAAGAGGTCCTGTTTTGAAGAGAAGAAGGACCTATTCTAGTATAGGGCAGTTTATCAGCTTAGCTAGAAGTCTTGGGGGGTAAAGGAAGGAGGGAAGAGGAATATATGATAGAAATCCTCAATATCTGAATGAGAACACTCAATCACTGAGAGGTCTCTGTGTCACCAAGAAATCAGATCCGGGGTGTGAGACCTGGGCTTAGTTCCTTGGTCACAGGGAAACAGAAAGCAATAGGCAGATGCTCCCTCAACTTTCCATCCTCCAACCTTTCTCACCTCACCTGCCTACCTCAGATCTTACAACCTTCCCTCCTCACTGCTCTCGAAGGTGAGTCCTAACTCCTTCCCAGGCTGACCCTCCCACTTGGACTCTAAAGCCTACTGCCCTCACTCCACCTTCCCACAGATACCATTTTCTCCTACTTATAAACCCATGTGATCTGGCTCTGCTCTTCACAGCAAGGTCACAACTCCCCCACTAGGCATCCACTCCCCAACCTCCCACACAGCTACCACTGCTTTAGAGACGCTTTCTTCCCTAGGATCTGTGGAAATGTATACTTGCAATTCACCTCCTGGGCTACTCCTGAGTGTGCTGTGCATGTTTCTACTCCCATGCCACTCCTTTAGAATTTACTGCCACTCAGCGTTCTGGCTAAGTCCTTGTGTCTAGGCCTGGTCTCTTCTCATGTGATAGTCTTCCTGGTGATATCATTCATATCCTTCCCTTCAGGTGCCATCTTTATATTAGTAACATGCAAGTTTCTAACACTTATCCAAATCTCTCTTCTCCACTCCAGAACCAATTATGCAACTATCCACCTGAGTTTCTGAAGTCACGTTTCCCACCATTACACAGAGCCCAGCAAGTCTACACATAGGTCACCACCATCCCTGACCCCAGCCTCTGCCTCCATTCTGTTGCCTGTGTTGGTGGATGGCACCACTACCAACATAATTGTTTGGGTCAGAAACTTGGGCATCCAGTCAATCCTCAGGTCCTGTCAATATCACTCAAATTTGCCCAAATGTATCCTTCTCCAAGCCATCTCCTCAGTCCAGGCCACCACTGGCTCTCTACTAGCCTCTCACAGGGCCTCCCAAAGGGTCTCCCACTTGTTCTTCCTGTCATTTGTTCCTCCACAGTAAAGTGGTATTTCCTAAAATTGCGGTTTGATCATGTCACTGCTCTGTTTCACCCTCCCTTGGAAAGAATCCACATCTGGCATCCATGGCCCTGCAGCCATGTTTCTCCAGTATTGTCCCAAATCCCCCCCAATCTCTACACTATGGCCTCTTCTTTGAGCCCAGGGATATTCTCACCATCTGCCTACCTCCTCCTGATCCTGAAGCTCTCAATTTAGTGATGCTTCCTTCTCAGAAACATTCTCTGATGCCTTCAACAGACCCAAGTCCTGACCAGTCCTGACCTGCATATGTCCTACATAAAACTCTAAATTCTGCCCCCCCATCACATTTCTTACATGAATAATCTGAATCGTCCATTAAATGGTTAGCTCCACAGAGGAGGAACTGTTTCTACTTTCTATAAAGCTGTATTCCCAGAACCTAGAATACTGCCTAGCACAGAGTGGGCACTGAAAATAATATTCAAAACACTTCAAAAATACACAAAAACAATTTAAAATTTTTTCTTCATTCCTTATCAAAATTTAGTCTATATACATACCATAATTTGAACAAACAATACAAATACATACAGATCCCGGGCCTTAAAATGTTCCTTTTGGTTGTAGAGCATAACAATGGGAATCATATTAATAGTAATACTGACCAACTGCTTGGTGCTAAGTTTGTAAAGGAAGTTTTGGTATTTTATTATCCCTCTCAACAAACCTGTTATGTAACCTTTATTTATGAAAACCATAGAAATGTAATAAATGAACATGAAAGTATAAAAATTAAACAAAATCTGTATGCCATAAACATCTTTATGTTCATTTTACAGATGAATGCTTGTCTTCAATGGAGAAATGAGACTTGAAAAATTTAAATGATTTGCGTAAATAGTAACTGTTAGAATCAAATTCTAAGTTCCACAGAAGTTCTGGATATTAAAAAACTGAAGTGTTTTAAAAATATTTTTTTAATTCAAAAATTTTAATTAACACTTACTATAAACAAAATGCCAGCTAGACACGAAAAAATATCCATGGCCCTGCCTTGACAGAGACTCTCAGGGACATTTCTCTAACTTACCATCATGAAAGCTCTATAGTCAATTAAGCTTGAGTTAGAGGAAGATGTTAAGAATTATGAATTATTTGAACTCTATAGTTCTATAATTCATTAGGTGCTAGTGACAGTAAAGATGATTAATTCTAAATATCCATATAACACAGTGTCAGAAAACCAGGGGGTCTTCCTATGGCTGATGTATCATTCACAAGTTCCCAATTTTAATTAGATATGTAATCTATCATACAAATATTTTATTAGACCCCTAGAACATTAGGAATATTATATATTATGGGGCTGCCTACACATGATGAAAATTATCACAATTCTTTAAGAAATGTTTTAAAGGGGACACTCATACATATTCTGACAACATATTTGCTTCACGCTATCTTAAAATGTCTTTACCACTCCTCCCCTTCTCCTTTCTTCTCTTCCCTCACTCTTTACTCTTTCTTTTTTAATGTTTCCAATATACAACTGTAAACAAGAGAGTAAATCCAAATCACAGGAAATATAAGCCACTCTATGGTATTAAGATAAATTTATTGTGAAGCAAGACTAGGAAGAAGGTTCTTCTTTCTCAAACTGCTGTGCCCAGAACAAGGGTGGGCAGTTAGTGGCACATAACAGAAGGAGAGACTGGAGAATAAGCATTTGACTTCTCTCCTCATCTTGGTTCTCTGGCAATTCAAAATCAATTAGCCTTCTGCTGTGTCAGGAAGATTCTATTCTGTGGGCTTCCATCTTGATTTCCCAGCTTTCTGAGTCCCTAGGGGTCTCTTTCCACTAAATTTTAGGGTCTACACCTCTCAGAACTAGCTGAGGAGAATACCTGGGTTACAGTAGGCACTCAGCTCTCATTTGTTGCTTGAATGGATGAATGGCTGAATCACCGGTGTTCATTTTCATTCAGCCCCTCTTTCACTGAATAACCAGTAAGAAAAAACAATACTGTGAGAAAACTTTTCTGGTCTTCTCATGACAGTAAAGCATATGCTATGACACATAAAGGCCTTTCAGGTACATTCTAAAAGCAGCAGCCTCACAGAGTTGATAAAGCTAGGTTTTTTACCAAATAATTTTTTAAATGACTGGCATAAAGAAACATGAAAGTATCATATTGTCCCTTTGAAATTAAAAGTCTACATGCATTAATAGAGGATACTGTAATATGTCAATGGGAAATCTATCTGAAAACTATTGAACTTAAAGCTTTCTTGAACTAAAAAGCTAATGATTCAGAGTCAACTTCGAATGATAGAAAAGGGAAG